AGGCCTGGGTCAGGGGACAGGAGAAAGATGGGGCTTCAGGAATAGTTCCCAGGAATATAGACACACTAGGGTGAGCACATGTGAAACAGCCCCTAGAGGATGCACAGAAATCTGCAGTAGAAAAGAACCAGAGTTTAGAGGGGTGGAAAAGATACATGTCTGTTCCTGAAAATGTTTTTTTGGAGAATTTTCCTTACATGACTCTGTTGCTTTTTTTTTTTTTAGAAGTTTTTGCTATAGGGCATGTGTGCTCACCAGACAGAGAGAGTCAGAGAGACAGAAAGTGAGACATCACCCCCAGGGGGCATGGCCACGCCGCAATCCCTTCTCCTCCATTCTCCTCTCAGGATATTGGGCACGCATGCACACGCACCCGGCGTGAGTTTTAAGCCACCAGGTCCAGGACTCGAACCGCGGTCGACTACATGAGAGTCCAGCGACATAGCCATTATGCTAACTGCTGGTCCCTGTTGCTTTTTCAAATAACAAATTCTGTTTCTCATTCTAGAATACACACAGAGAATCTGTCCTTTGTCATGTCCAGGTGACGTAAGAAAAACTAAGTCTTACTTCTATTCTCCCTCTAATTCTAAAGCAGTGTGGTGCTAGACTGAGACTTTGCCTCCATTCCTGGGACTGTAAAATGGGGTTGACAAAAACCTATTCTAGCCTCCTCACAGACATGATGGAGTTCAATGAGATAAGGTGGTAATAGAAATAATAATTGAAAAATCTCGAATGCTTAGCCAGACCCTGTGGTGCTAGTGGCATGCTAGACTGCAGAGCTGTGGTCCCCATGCTAATCACAGCTAGAGACCCCAACCAGACCACCCTGAAAACATGCCAGGCACATGTTTGTGTGCCCAGGATTCCCTCAGACTGGAGGACTAGAAAAAAGGGATTGCAGTACATCCAGACCTTGTGGAGCACTTCTCTCTCTCTCTGTCTCTCTCGTGCTCTCCCGCTTTTTCTCCTTCTATCTCTCTCTCTCTCATGCATGTGTGTATACACACTCGATTATGAATTTTAAAAATTTTAATATTATCTTTAGGGACCAGCAGATGGCATGGTGGTTAAGTAGCTGGACACTCCCACATGGCCAACCATGGTTCAAGTCCCAAACCTGGTGGCTTGCTTTCTCACTTTCCCTCTCTCTCGCTCTCTCTCAATGTCTCTCTCTGGTCAAATTAAAATATGCAAATGAGGGACAAGCAGCGTAATGGCTATGTCGCTGGACTCCCACGTAGTCGACTGCAGTTCGCGTCCCGGACCCGGTGGCTTAAAACTCACGCCAGGTGCGTGTGCGTACGTGCCCAATATTCTGAGAGGAGATGGAGGAGAAGGGATTGCAGCGTGGCCATCTCCCCTGGGGGGGGGGCGATTTCTCGCTTTCTGTCTCTCTGTCTCTGGCTGGCTGGCAAGCGCACATGCCCTGTAGCAAAAATCTCTAAAAAAAAAAAAAAAAAAAAAAAAAAAAAAAAAAAAAAAATTAAAAA